GATGATGTTGAAATCTTTCCTTAAGCTTGGCATTGTAGTTAAACGCTGCTTTTTCCCGTGGAGCAAGCTGAAAAAAGAAAAGGACTCTTAGGACCGGTTCAGACGCCGAACTTTTCAAGAGCCGAACATAATTCGAATTAAGACCGACCCAAATTATTTAGACCTGCTGAACTGATTCAGACGTCGATCTTAATCGCAGCTGAACTAAGTTCAAAAGGCGAGACATGCCACGAATTATCTCAGTTGTATGACGAAATTGACAACCTTTCTAAAATTGGCCAAAAACACTGAAGCAAAAAAGAAAACAAAACTCGCACACATACCTGCAGTCCTATCTAAGGGTCCATTTTAACGACCTTTGCTTTAAATAACTGTAATGACTCGTTATGTCCCCAGGATGTTCAATACGTCATGGGTAAGCGATACTTTGCATTAGGTCAGTGTAAACCGCAGTCCACTACCGCAGGGAGAACTCTCGGTTCTTCTCCAATCTGTATCGAACCCATAATCCGCAATGCGCAGTACGCATCGATAGTCTGCGTTTAACTCTGACCGACATATTTCATATCAATACACTGAAACCCCGATATAAGAAACTTGCTCAACCTCAAAATTAATAATAGTATTAATAATAATAATAATAATAATAATAATAATAATAAAACCTATATAATGCCGACTTCAATATTCGCTATTTTCATTATTGCTTACAAAAAATTATGCCATCACTAAAATTATAAATCAGTATTACTTAGAGACTTGAACTGTAAACGCTGTGTTAGTAAAAACGAGTTTAAAAAGCACATAAAATTACATAAAAGCTTTCTGGAATTAAATTGTCTTGAGTGTCTTCTTCAAAAAGGGGTCCCTCCTAATCGCACAGGGACTGACAGGGTGCAAAGAAAATCATCTTTACAGCTTGCCGTTCAGGCAAGCTGAAGCAACAACCAGTTGCAAAAATGATGAGACACTCCCACGGAAAAACGACCTTTCTTGCTTCAAATCGCTCCTGGTCACAGGTCTGTAAAATATAACACTGACCTCCCTCCTCCCTCCCATTCAAAGTTGTTCCTCCAAGTTTTGAGTATGGTCTTGTATTGCTAGCAACTTTGATAAGGGTTGGAGGGGGGATCACAAGCACAAGATCATGGACAGGCCATTTATGCCAAAATACGGTACAGTGTCTCAAGTACTTTTGCAACTGGTTGTAGCATTTACTAGCCCAGATGTCATTTCAACTAGCCCCAGATGCTTTTTGACGAGCAGAATTGATTTCATAGTTCTTCTGTTATTCGAATTGCTCAAAAAACCTCACTTGCCTGTTGGGCAAGTTAACAACAGAATTCACTAGCCCAATAGCAAAATCCACTAGCCCCGGGCTATCGGACACTACTTTCTTTGCACGCTGGACTGAACTACTTACCGCTCCCAGTTTTTGTGAAGCATTAGCTTTCCATATTCTAGGGAGAAAAGGATAAAAGAAACCATTTCAGGATGAGCTCATTAAGAAAAAAAGAAGGAAAAAACGTCAAGTAACATTCCTAGACACCAAGAAAGAAGTCACGAAACACGACAAAGTTTTTCCAAACTAACTTCTTCGGATAAAACACTCTCCTATTCCTTGAGATATAACAAAACTTCAGTCTCGAATGACCAAAAATTCATGAAAAAATTCAAAAGTTGAAGTCAGAACAATGTTTTGGTAATGACGATCCGATTTCCAAACCTCTTCATCTCATAGATAATGAAGTTGAGAAAAATAAATCAAATGGTTTTACGCCACATTACCTGATATTTGTTTCATCGCTTCCTGAAAGGACGTAAGTGGAATCCGCACTGAATCGAACACAAAACACGCGTTGCATTCTTCGTGTGTGATACACCTCCCTAAGGACAAGACAAGCGTTCAGTTGCAACAATCATTGTTTTTTACCGGTTTCGAAACGAGGTAATGTTTTGAGTAGGATGATCATCCTGGCATGCATAGTCGTGAATAGATTACCTGTCATATTCAGAGTAAAAGTTAGTTGTGTCTCACGTTGCGTCTATTGCATGATGAATACCGCATGGGTTGTTGAAACGTCACTCTCACTTAAGTCCCAGATCAATTTAGGTTTCCGGGAAACTGCCCACCTACCCCTCCCCTAAGTCATAATTTTGCCTAAGTAAGAGATAAGTGTTCATGTTAGCTTAGGGGAGGGGTAGGTGGGCAGTTTCCCAGACAACCCTTACCCTAGAATCAACCCATTTACTAAGGTTTAGTTTATTGGTCGAGATTCGCACCGTCACCATCACTGTCAACGTTCCGCGAAACCTCCCCCGGCGGGCGGGACAGTCTGAGGTGAGAGGCGTTCCGGCTCTTGTATTTTCGAGTATGTTTCACGCGAACAGTAGGTGCACTGAAACAGTCTCCAGAACCAAACCAACAAGACCTTGCCCAACTAGTTTATAAAAGAGCTGGTTTCTGTGGCTTACATAAGCATTGGATAGTGAATTACGCGGTGGAAAGCATAATTCCCCTTTTAAAAACCGGGCTCTGTTGACCACTTCTGGACTTACCTGCTTCTTCCACTGTCGCGACCGTAAATCCTGATCGTTTTATCAAAACTTCCAGTCACAAATTCCTGACCAGTGGGGGAATAGTCCACGTCCAGCACAGCTGAAACATGGTCCATGTGCACGTTGATTGGTTGGTTAAAACGACGAATGTCAAACGTGTACAGATTCGAATCCTCACTGGCTGCTGTGAAGATGAACGACTCAAGTGGATTCCAGGCCACTGTGTTGCTCCTCATCTCCATGACAACCTTACGGAGTGGGGTCGAACCGCGCATATCATAAAGGATAATGCTGCGATCGGAAGCCGTGCTGGCAAGCAAATGGGTCTGGAGAAAAAAAATGGTAACGGTTCTCAAATACCACGGTGCTGGCTTTGTCAGAATACTCCTAAATCAATGGTGATGCGTTCGCTTCTCCACGACGTCTGAGCTAAATTATTGCATATATTGTTTTGCCTATTGCTCCTTAATATAAAGTTGTGCGTGGCAAATCAACATCAACAAATTCAAGGCCGGGCTCTAGCGGCACCCGATGGCCCCTGGCGCCTAACTTTTCCTCCCTAACAATTAGAAAAATTAAATCTTAGTTGTTTTCATAGAAATCAACAGCAATGCAGGCCACCCTGGATTTCACAGGTCCAGAGCGGACGAACACTTACCATCCTGGTCAAAACGTTTGGGACACTTTGCGTTTTAGGTGAGGAAAATGTAATTAAAGTTGACCCCCCTCCCCCCCTGGACAGTGTTGGGTGTTACAAGTCAAACACCTTTTACATATCTTGTACACTTTATGGGCCTCAACTTTGTTAAGGGGGGGTGGGGGAAAAATCTTGTTGAGGCCATGTTTATGAGTGTGTACCGCAGGTTAGCTGCAAATTCCACACAAAACCAAGTGAAAAAGGGGAGGTGTCCCAACACCTTTGGGCCAGGATTGTAGCATAGCCTTGAAAAACCAATCATGCTATCAGAGAACAGATTGAACAAATTTTGACAAACATCCTCCTCTATCCAGGAACCAAGCCACCAAATGAAATTGGTTATTTTGGTTTTTACCTCTATGGGGTTAAACTTGACACTATGGATGGTGTCCACGCCCCAAGTGAAGCTCCTCACAGGCTCAGCTCTGTGTTCATCCCAGATATCAACTTGTTCTCCACAAGTTGCAAATACAGCACTCTTCCAATGATGATCAATACCATGATAAAGATTCTAATGAGTGAAAAAGAACAGGGTGTACTAAATCCATCAAACAAAGGAAAATACTGACTTTTGACCCACAAATGTGACATTCAAGACATGGTATGGATAATGCACACCAACCACTGAGCTACGAAATGAGCAGTGGCAAATCCAGACCTTCAGAATAAGGGGGTGGTCATCCAGACCCAGCAAAAAGGGGGTCCCAGGCCACCCAGGCCCCTCCCCTGATGAGGACCCATCAACTTGAAAGATTTGAGATGGCTGTCCGTATGTCCATCTTAAAGCAAGTCAAAGAAAGTGATTGAGTAATGCACATAAACTACTGCATTACAAGTAATCAACGTGTTACCCCGTTAAAGTCAGTAAATCTCAATATTCACCAGCTTTACAAGCCTGTTCCAGGCTCCAAGAAAGTGAGGAAAGCGGATCAGGAAAAGTTGCGTGAAAACGGCATGGGGGTTAGGGAAACACGGAGTAGTGGAGTCTGAAAAATTGTTTAACACCTCATTCAGGAACATGATTGGTCATATATGACTGCTCGCGCAGCGTCTAACAAACAGGTTAAGTACATGAAACCCTACACTGCACCTTTGGATATTTTGACATTTAACATTTGACACTAGAAATGCTTTTCAAGAACAGAGCAGGGTAGAGGGCTGGATTGAGGTATTACAGGCTCTCCCCTTCTCGTTTCAAGCTGTTTTTTCGTTCACTCGCTATTTCACCGCCTGCTAGACTTTTTCACTTGTCACGGAGAGCCTGGCACAGGCTACAGCTCTACTGGACAGGGATCATCATACCTTGCCTATGATTGTATTTACTGGATCTGGTGATGATGCACTGGCATTCAAACTCTGCTCCATGCTCCACTGTTTTATAACTTTGTCATCTCCAATCTAGATGCAAGTTTTAGGAATGACTACACTTTGGTTTCACGATAAAAATAATAATCATTCAAATAAAAAAACAGTCTGTTGCATTATACCCTGGATTTCCAGCCATTCAAGCGAGTCCAGTTTGGATCCCCCTTTCAACGGGTGGCAGGTGCTCTTCAAGCCACTCATGGACTCCTGTCAAGCCTAATATTATAAAGTTGCTACATGCAACTCTGAAAGAAGCTAGAAATCTTGTTGTGCTCTCTTAGCTAGCTGTTGTTTCCATGTAGGCTCAATTCATTAAAAAAACATCAAGCTAGACTACAATACAATCCTGATTTCTCGAACCCTCAGTTTTTCGAAATTCCAAATTATTTGAAGCAAACCTAACGTCACTTCACCAGTCAAACACTGTAATATTACTCTCCATTTTTCAAACCTCCTGATAATTCAAAACCATCTGCCTTTCCCAAAGTTGTTCCAATAATAAGGATTCTACTGTAGTTACAAGTTTTCAAATAAGAGCCTTTTTACTTTTTACTTTTTAAAAATTTGATTCTTGAGCACTTGAGTGTAGATTTATCAGATGAACTGTAAATACAAAAGTCAACAAATACATGCACAATGCATGAATGCAGTGATATGATGAGTAGAAATCTTTTCTATTTGTTTCATACATACATAAACACACCTGTAAAATTCGTACTTCATTTAAAAAATTATGCTACTTAAAAAAGCACCACTTTGAGTTAAAGAGAAACTTGGCTTCTGGGATACATGCAAAATGTACAATAATGTATGTTCACATGTGCAGCGACTGCTAGTGTCTATTTCCCATGACCAACGATTTATTGAATTTATAGTTACATTAAATAATCAAAGAATTGATTGGTACTTTGTAATCTTTAAAATAACTTATTGATTTTTGAGAAAAAATGAAAGAAATTTAACAAACAGAGACGAAAATATTGTCTTATGAGAATTGTTGTGCAGTTTGTGGTAGTTGCATTCTGCAAAAAAATTCAAAACTTACAGAGATGAATGTGTCTCCTAAAGAATTCACACATAATCCACGAACAAACCCAGAATGTGCTGTTAGGGTCCTGAGGCATTCACGTCTTGGTAAACTCCATAGACGAATCTATAATAAATTGAATAGTATCTTAATCACCAGCAAAATTGCATGTTACAAATGAAAAAAAGGTTCACATGTGCTTGTAACCAGTTCATGAATCTTGCCAATGGAACAACCACTCTCTTGAACCACCGATTATACTGTCTTCTACTTTGAGACAAATGGTTTAATACCCCTACTTCTCTCCCCTCACCCCCCCCCCCCATCGCTTATATCATAGTGCAAACAACACTGTTATTTCTTCATCAGTTCAGAGTTTTAGTCTGAAGATTAGGAGGTACCATCATAGAATTCCTGAATACTACTGAAAATCCTGGTCAGACCAACCATTCATGGTCTATAAAACGAAAGATCAAGGTGTTCAAATGCAAAGGAGTATAAGGTGTTTTCCTGGAATCCTTCACCTTAGAGCACAATACTGCAGGGCTTCCAAAAAGTTTTTAAGTAGCGATATTATGCACCTTACAGCACAATGCTGTATGTGCAGGGGGTTCATTAAGGTTTTGAACAGGAGGGCAACTGAGTTTGACACCCGGTTAAAGAATTGGCAAGGCCGGGAGGACCTTGTCCCCTAGTGGGTTCCGGGGGCATGCTCCCCCGGAAAATTTTGAAATTCTATAGTCGCAGGGATGTGTTTTCCTGCATTTTGAGGCTGCAGACCATGACTTTCAATTCATTGGCGTAAACCATAAGACGAATAAAAAATAACGCTGCGCTTCGTTGAACACGATGATTAGGCCATTAAATATATACAGGCAAGTAAAAGGTCAAATCACAAAGAAGTCTATTCACCTCTTGGCCTTTCCTCTACCTGAAGCCCTTTGGCTGAAGCCGAAAAATAATCTGCTATCGAACGCGTTCTTTTCTGGGCCGCCATGCTCACGTGCTCGCAACGCCTGATACATTTCAGGTGGTCGTTTATGAAGCACAGTTCTTTTCGCAATGTGTTATGGGGCGATTCTTATTTTTAACACATAATGAACGAGGGGAATTCATGCCGTGTGAAATAAAGTCTCGATAAGACTTATCAAGAAAAGGGCGAGATTGTAACTTAAACTGTTTTTGATCGTTCCTTGTAGTAAAAAGAAGTTCTTTGAGATGTAAAGCAGCCGGGCAAAGTCGTGTTCTCAGCCGGTCAATTTGCCCGGTGCCCGGCTCTTAATGAACCCCCTGTATGTGCAAATGACAAGACCTAATTTCTGCAACTACGAAGGTCATGCAACAGATTTACAAAGGCATCCCAAATTAAAGACATCTTGCCAGTTTTGTTTCTCAATCGGTCAGAGTAAAACGCAGACTGCGGACTGCAGACTGCAGACTGCCGACCAGGGGTAAAATGCAGATAGAGTGTAAAATGCAGACTGCAGACTGAGAGTAAAACGCAGGCTGGGTGCAAAATGCAGAATGAAGATTGTAGACTTCACAAACAATAATGTGCTCCTTCTTTTCCAAATAGCTAGCTAGTATCAGTTACACACCTCGCTTCCTAGTCGAAGTTAGTACATTGCATATTCGCCAAAAGTTCAATGAACATCCAAACAGCTAAAGTCTGCGTATCTTGATTTTCAATCCTTTCATAGAAGGTCATCCAAATTTCCTGCAGAACATCTTCTTTTGTTGTTGGAATGATTTACTCCCTTTTTTGTCGCCATAATTGTTTTGAATTCTTTCTGTACAGTATTTTGGGTCAGCAAACATCGTGGTGTTGTACCAATTCATGGTCATGCGTATCGAAAAGTTCGCGTCTATTAAGTTGAAGCGTGAGGTCTCTCGGACGGAAAAAGGTTCAAGATTGCGATTACTAGTATGTTTTCGGGTCGTGAAGACGTTTCTGAGAAGAAAGGAATGGATTTGTGAAAGCAGATGTCGTCAAGTAAGTATTCGTTTACATGTATTTGCAGGATTGTTTTGCCCTGAAACCCTTCCACGACTACAGTTTATGCTCGGTCTCCATTTTACCCCAGCCTGCGTTTTACTGTCAGTCTGCAGTCTGCATTTTACACGCAGTCTGCATTTTACCCCTGGTGCGTAGTCTGCAGTCTGCAGTCCGCAGTCTGCGTTTTACACTGACCGGTTTCTCAATAAAGAGCTATTGTTATAATGGCCTCTTGCTACCCGTGATCAACTGAGGATCAAGCTACTATTCACCACTTTCACATTTCACATAATGCACCTTGTTTGCCACCCCAAGTTTGGCATACAACTTTTGTTCTTAATTTGTCATTGGCATTGCATTAATCGAAAGGGAAACTGAAGTCAATGCAAAGTTTGGAGTGCAAACAAGGTGTATTATGGGAAATATACAAGTTAGGACAGTAGTCCGTCAACAAATTAAATTTAATTTGAGAAGGACAAAGTAAACACCTACCTCCCCATCACATGAGCCAGACAGCAAGACGGACAAGCTTCTAGGGTGTCTAGCAATACAGTTCACACCATCAGTGTGCCCATCTAAAGAGCTTACAAATGGTTTGGCAAAAACGCGTTCGAGTTTAACCGCGTTTAACGCACGTGTATACTCGCGCGGTCCTTCAAAAGGATGTAATGATGGATCAAGGTTGCGATGGAGTTTGTGAATATCTGACTTGTTCTCTCGTATGTAATCGGCGGGGTTCCTTGAAAGGACTTTAACCTTCATTGTAAAGTGTATGAAACCTTTTACAATGTTCCGAGACCGTCCTTACAGCGCCGCCATATTTCTTTAGTCGCCCGCACTCGTACTGAGTAGCGGAATCACAATCACCTCGATTCGATGAAGACTATTCCCAGTTACCATGGCAATGGAAAGTGCACCAGCGAACAAGATGGCGGTCGATTAAGAGACAGCTGTGTTTTGATGTCGGTTTTTTGCCTGTTGTGTCGTTCAAAGTTTAAGCTTTACTATGCTGTAAGCAATGGTAAGTATTATTTTATCAATCTATTACCTATATACAGAAACTCCGTGAAGCAGAGGATTAAAATCAGCCTTAATTCCATGAAGCAATGTGGCTCACATTGATGCATGCATGAAAGCTTTCACTCTCCGCATGTATCTTTTACATACGAATAGAGACGTCTTGATCGCTGGCTTCTTTTGTTGTCCTTCTCCCTTTGCCGATAAATATCTTTCTTTTTGCCGACATAATCAACAAAATTTGCCATTAAAAGTCTCGTGCTTCTATTTAACACTCACCTTTTAATAATTAAGCTTTATTGTTTGCAGAAATTATTGACAGTGCTGTCGTCTGTCGGTCTATCGTTTCTTTTCTTAGCAAAAAATCAAACGCATTAACTACCATTAACCCTCAAGGGAAATCATTTCCAAAAATCATATATGTTATATATCAGTTTCATATGTACATCTACAAACAAAGTAGCTGACACCAAATAAATGGCTCAGTACATGTATATTTCAAACGTTTCTACTGATCCCTACCCATATTTTCGTTGAAAATGAACCTTTATTTCACGGGACACCTCTACATGTATACTAAGCTGACTTCACTGAAGGTACAGTCCCGTGAGTATCTGCTTATACATGCAGGTTTCACTTTTCATTGATCTGTACCTAGCTAAGCATTGACAAGAAATAAGCCCCCAGGGGCACTTAAAACGGAGGAAATAATAACAGTAGATCTATTTTCAAATTTGTATACAGCGATTTTTGTATGGTACCCTGGAAACAGAAACAACAAACCAAGGGAAACAGAGTGATTTGATTGCTTTGTTGAATGGATACAAAATGCAAGTGGTTCATGTCATGATTGGTTAAGCACACGCTTGGCCAGAAAAAACTTCATGCCCGAAGGACTCTCTAGAAATCAATCGATACTTTGCTTTGACATCATACTGCAACACGATTGGCCAATCGAACTATGCCTTCCCATATTAGGGTTTTCTTTGGCGGGAAAACAAAGAGTTCATGTTTTGATCTTTTCTTACATTGGCTGATAAAACAAATACTGAACACTTACCGAAACCATTTTTCAAGGTCATATGAAAATCGCTCTGTTCTAAGTAATGGACCATCCATGTGACTCAAGTCCTGATTGGACCTGTCAAGTGAGGCCCTGTCGGGGTAAAACAATGACAAGCGACATGGCCTTGAAACAGGGGCATGTGACAAGATGAAATGGCAACAACGACACAAAGATGGGTTAAATACTGACAGGGATATGGCCTACTCCTTAAAATGCAAAACGACCATATTTGAAACTCAGACTAGGGGCATACGTACTTAAAAAGGGCCTTGACAGTGACTGACATTTCAGCTCTCCTAACCCTAAAAGCCAATTGGTTTAATACCCTAACCAAGAACACCTTAGTATGAGCATGCAGCTCCTACATTACTCGTTTATTCGTCATCTTCAGAGTCACTGACTGTGAATGTGACCCATGCACCCCCACTTATGACATGACTCTCTCCATGTTTGTACATTCTGTCAACAGGAAAAATCTTCATCCAGTGTTAAGTTACCCAACATAGAGAAAACAAGTGCCAGGGGTGGAAACAGTGAAAATGAAAGGTTTAAAGCAAGAAACTGGAAAGTGTTAAGTAAAAAGGAGATACAGAAGCTGCCACCACAACAAAGAAGCAAATACCTGGCAGTAAGAGATATTTTTTATACTTAACAAACACAGCAAGACCTAATACAGGGCTCAAAGTTAGCGACTAACTGGTCGCATATGCGACTGGATTTTTGGTTGTGTGCCTAAAAATTCATTTGTAATCGCACCTGTGCGCCGTAATACCCAAAGCACAGTGCGACTGACTTACTTCCGGCTATACTTACGAACTCAAACTAGAAAGACGGTGTATGTTTAATTGGTCTTTTCTCCCAATGGATTCTACGAACTCGAATGTTCTTTTTCGTTTCGATGTTTTACACCATCCCAGACTCTTCTGTTTTGTAATAAACACCGCTGACAGATGCAAATATATGCTACGAACGAAACAAGTACTTTTTGCGGAACGGACGATCATGTCGAACGTTCAGTTTTAACATCAATCAAACAAAAACAGTGCGGATTAAGAGCCTTTTTTCCAGGTAAGAACCGTGTTCCCCCTAAATTTTAGTGCACCAGGTAAGGGACTATTCATGGCCGGTAAGGCAAAAAAATATGTGCCAGAAGTGCACTTTCCTGGGGGAGGGGAGGTAGTGGAGTGAGGGACATGGCTTTGACCTTGCTGTGAAATTTAGAAGCTAAGTTCTCTGAAATGTCATTCTCTCATTTTAAGACCTATTTTACGTAAATCAGTCGTTATTTTTAGACAACACTAAAAAATGTTTGATTCCAAACAATATTACACTGTGTTCAACACTCTAGAAAAGCTGTGTGTCCTTTAGTACACTTCCATATATTCATTCATTACTTTGATCGGATCAGATCGAAACTTGCGTATTTTTTTAAAACAACTTATTTAGTAAACCTTCAAGCGGTTGTAGGCGGTAAGAAGTGTTGCTTCAGACTATAAATTTTACCGGTTACCGCCTGATAAAGAGACCACTGTAAGAAAGTTTTTTAAGTCGTATTCCAGTTACATGTAAGTCATTGCGCATTTAACAGATTCATTAAAGATTAATTTTCATTCTCGTTCGACACACTCATTATTGTCAGTTTTGAATTGTTTTTCAAGTGTAAGTTTTCTTTAGTCACAACTGTGCTGTCAAAAAGAGAAATTAGTATTAAAAATCACAACGGTATTACTGCGTAGCAAATCGGCTGTGTTTTATCAATCACAGGACTGAAGTAAAAGTAACAAACTGAAGATGACAAATAAACGTGACACTGTTAAGCTTTTTACTTTTTCTATTGAAATAGATGCTCCCAACATTTTAAGCTGTGCTCCTAAAATTTTCAGCTGTGCGCGTAAAATTTTGGCAGTGCGCCTAAAAATTTACATCTGGTAGCACAAGTTCTCCCAAACTCAAATTTAAACTTTGAGCCCTGTAATAAACCATTTCAATTTTTAAACTAAAAATCGGTAAGGGGTGACAACTAGTCTTTCAATTAAAATACAGCTTTCACTTCTGTCATTAGTTTTACATGAATCATGCTCAAGTAGATTAGTTATCATTCTGTCCAGCATGACATTGGTGTGAAGCTGCTATTTACAAAGGGTTGCTCAACCAGGCATTGTTGTTTTTCCCCTGCAAAGATGTTCTTCCTTTGCAGGGAAAAATTATTGTTTTACAAGACAAAAAACATCTGCAAGCGGAGGAATTTATGAAATTAAGGGTAACAAATCAATGATTGATTCCTTGCCAAAGTATTTTTTAAACTAATGTTTAGCAACTGTGTCTCTGTCATATTTTGTATTTCAGTATGAACCAGCTCCTAAAGAATGCAGTGAAGCTATGTCAGCTGCAAGAAAAAGACTGAAGGAGTTAGACAAATCACAAAAAAAGTAGGTGTAAAATTTTAAAGTGTTAAAATTTTCCTCTACCCCTAAAAGGGTTTACAGGAGAAATGAAACAAACATTGCAAAGAATAAAGCAAGTTCAAGTTCCAAACTGACAGGGTTACCATCTTTCTACAAATTAAAAGTATCTTTTATAGTTTGCTCTGTTAAAGCACTAATTAAATTTGTAGCACACTCTGGAAATATGGTTTTATATTCACCACAACTTAATTAATTTTACTGTGTTTCGAATGGTTCGAAACGGTCTTTAATTTGTTCTTGAGAGTGCGAAGGAGGACTGGAGTTGAACTTGAAATGGTCCAAACACTGTAGCTGCTATGGTGATCAAAACAAGGGCTATAGCCTAGAGTGACTCCACGTATGCCTAGTGCCCAAGACAACTCAGTCAGTTCCTGCCTCTTCTAGCCTCCCACGCAGACATGCTTAGGGTTCATCACGCGTTCCTGATGAACCCCTAAGAATGTCTACGTGGGAGGCTATGCCTCTTCATCTTTTTTTGTCATTTTTCCCTTTGACTGTGGGCTCAGGCTTTTAGTATAAAATAACTTGTTAATTTGTTCCTTGCATTGTAAAGACATCACAAGCCACCACCCATGGAAGAGGTTGTTGAGAATGAAAAACACATCAAGATCATAGGACAGTTAAAGTAAGTAAGAAGCATGAGTGTAATTCGTACAAACCATGCATGCTTAACAGTGAGTGTTTCTTTCAAACAAATTAGAAACACAAAAATTCATGCAACTCTGACTGGTAAAATCAAATCCTGTCTGATTGTCCTTATGGCACATCCTTTTCAGATCTGTTGCCATGTTAGCGAAAAATTTTGTACCATTTTGGAGCCTAGTAAAAGCCCACCTTAAGAGTTTGCTGAGTCACTGAACTTGACTCTATTGGGCCGGGAATACATAAAGTTTTTGAGGAATTGTATGATCTTCCTACAATGGTGTACAGTTTCCTTTTTGATTTGAACTGTGATTTGCTTACATCAACAGGGCAGCTGAAGCAAGAAACAGAATCAGGCTCACAAGACTTAGATACCAAAACAACCGGGTAAGATCGCGGCAAAAGAGGAGTCGTTTTTAACCCAGTCATTATTCATATTGACTGGTTCTGCAAATAATGGAGAAACCTTGAACTGGTCATTTCAGATGGGTACAAAAAACCATTAATAACTAATTCCAAACCATCTCATAGTGCTTTCACTGATCTTACTCTCAGGTGTGACATAAAAAGACCCCTAGAAACATACATGTAAGCACCTCTGGCATTTTAAGTATCAAGTACACTGTATCAATAGAAATTAGAAAACAAAGAATTCAACACAATAGAACCTAGGAAAACAAAAGGTGCAAAACAAAGAAAACGCTGATAGGTCCTGCATGAAGATATTAAACCCTGAAATATGCAAACACGGTATCTCAAAACCTGTGCAAAAATTTACTTTTTTATTTACCATGAATCCTCTATTAAGCCCCCTGGGGGGCCTATTTTTTTTCAAGCACTTTTTGGGGTGGGGGGGGGGGCTTAAAAGAGAGGGGGGCTTATTTAATTTAGTGAAACGCATCAACGGGAGCAAGGTTTCTCAAGGACTGACTTTTTGTTCCCTGGCGTTATACTGCTTTTTCTAAGAATTCGAAAATTTTAACAATTCTCCACAGAGAACTGGAGCGTAAAGTTGAAAAAGTGAAGCACATAAAGTTGGAAGTCATGCGGCCGAAGACCAAAAACAATATAAATTTCCAGCCTGAATAAATAACTGATCAGTCCACGTTTATTGGTTGTGAAGAATAAGGATAGAGGAGAGGGAAAGGGGTTTTTTTAAATTTGCTTCCTCTGAAAAGGGGGGCTTATTTGAGAGGGGGGGATTTACAGTATTAATTTATTTTTCAGAGTTCAGAAGTTACCCACTTGATTTCTTGCCAGCCGACAGCCCTCAAAGCAGTTCGACTGCAGAGTTTGGTCCCACCCAGCCCTGACAAGATCTATATAAGGGATCTACTGGTTAAAAATGAGGTAATTATGTACCAAATCCTCCCATCCCCCCTCCCCTTCGGGGCATACCTGAGGTTTGCTCCATACGGTGTGGAATTTGACCCAAAATGAGGCCCACCCATTCGGGCATTTGACTTTCATGTCAAAATGCTGGTCAGCGTCGCAAGCAAAAGGATTCACAATTGCTTCATACAGCATGTGCACCGCTGTTCACGACTCATTGCCCCTATGCTCACTGTTCTGCTAGAGCAATTGAGGACCTTTGAAGGGCTTTCTGGAACGTACAATGTTATTGAAATGAACAAACCTCCGTAAGACAGCTTTCTGAGACATAAGATATTCGGTTGTGTTTAGTAGGATATTTACACTTGAATAAATGGTTGGACCCATGGGAAAATTTTTGAGTAGTCGCTGGTGTGGGGGATTTGACGCATTTTGAACAAATTTTATATCTTAACCCGAATACTCTGAATGAACAGATAAAACACTTACAAAAATTCAGCGTGCATCTTGTCCAAACTGAATGCATGCATTTATAATCACAGTAAGAAATTTATACCTGGTAAAATTCCTTTAACTGAAAAATCAGCAACGGGGTTTTAAAGAAAAAAAATTCAACCTCAGGGAAAACACAGATTGAATGACTCAAACAAAAAATTTGTACCTGTAAGTGATTTTTTAGAAACCTGGTTCAATTTCGCACTATTTAAAAAATTAAAAATTCATGGTTATATGGAGAAGCCATAGATGGTGTCGCCCATATACAGTACCGCTCAAAAGTAAGTTACCAGTCGCGTCTCGTTTCCTGCGCGACGAGAATCGCGTAGCGCGAGAATCATCGAACCGGAAAGTTTTGGTAAGACAGTGTTGGATTCTGGATTCCACACCGTGTATTTGGGATTCCGGGTACTGGTACTCGATTCCGTATTCTTTGAAATTGGAACTTGGATTTCAGATTCCAATCGTTAGTGGGATTCTGGATTCCTTGAGCTGTATTACAGATTTCACAAGCAAAACTTCCCGGATTCCGGGATCCGGACGGCACGGGATTTGTTTTGCTGCCTCAGGTCCCCGTTAGTTTGAGAATGCAATGACTTCTTCTGCCCGCAACTAAAAATTATAAACTCTAGACGTTCATTTCATCGTCACTGTTAACTTAAATTTGTCTTTATCAGTCCTTTGAAAACTTAGTTCGATTCATCTAGTCGAGAAAAAGTTGATTTTGACTTCAAAACGTGAGAGTCTACCACTTAATGATTTTCCAGCAAATAACCGCACTTTCTCCTTGTTGAAATTCTTGAAAATAGATTCACCAGTTAGTTTTAAAGCCAAAACGTCCGTTACTTTTCCGGTAATACCCTCACATCAATCTCTACCACTTTCTTGCAGAGGTATCGAGTGAACAAATTATTAGAGGACGAGACGGGATTGGAAACGGCGCGCATACTCACGTGACCCAGCCAGATGTCATATGCTGATTGGTGAATTTTGCCCAGTGTTCACGTGCACGGCCGATTTGCACGTTTTGTAGAACCCGAGCTGAAATAGCGCAAAAGCGGACATTTAGAGAAACAAAAATGATACCATTTTACAGTTTCACTTTTTTATTACGTACTCTCTTCTTGGCCATCTAATAGGCAGCTTTAGCAAAGACAAGGCGACGCCAGTGAGGACAGCGCGCGCAGATCTAACAATCTCCTTAACTAATGGCCGAGCACCGGAAGTGGCGTTCAGTCCTTTTCGCGCGCTTTCGCTTTCTCATTTGAAGTCGGTTGTCCTAGCTAAATCTGCCCCATTGACTGTCCAAAGCACCCTCCTTTCTTCTATGCATTTTTTTCTGTATTCCAACTCGTTTCGATCTCTGACTTTTAACTCTTATACAGATCTCGTGTAAATAATTTATATAAAATCTTCGCCTATCTTGTGAATAAATATATTGAATTTTAGGAAGAGTGTAATAAAGACTTGTACAATATACATTTTAACGAGCATTATTAAAAATATAGTCTTTTACCATGAATATAATTGGATAAATGCACTATCTAGTCGTCACTTAAATGAATCTTAAGCTTCACCTCTTGGCCGCAGTTCCAGATTTCAGCTCAGATTCAGAATTGTTTATAACATCATAGGTGACGAATTACTCCTTAATTTTGGCCCGAAATTTCATCGTTAATTTGTAATTTCACATGTGAAATAACAAAATTGCTATGGCAACCTTCCGTACGTCTCAGTGTCAAGATGACGACGAAGTTTTAAAATGCCGTGAATGAAGATGTCAGGGCACAAAAAGACGCTTTAGAAAACCTGAACACACAAGAGAACATCAGGAAGGACTCTAACAGGTATTTTTCCGAAAAAGTCTGAAAAATTCTGAACTTTATAAGCCAAATTTAAGGTCTAAACATTTGAGAGAGTGGAGTTCTCGATCGATACGATTCAGGATAAACATGTCAAAAATCCAAGATTGCTAACGTAATTCGTCACCCATGATGTTAATAGGTAATCGAATGGTATACTCGTGAAATTAGGGAATAATTTCACTTGCGTTTTGTCCAAATCCTAATAATTTCCCGGGAAATTATTAGAATTTGGACAAAACGCGCGTGAAATTATTCCCTAATTTCACTCGTCACCATTTGATTACACATACTAATACCACTATTCAAGTTTGTGTTCAGCGTTTACTGGTGATCGACAGTGACCGGTCACTAGCGACAGAATGTGGAAGGGAGAGACTGGAGCCCAGAATATTTCAACTTCCGGTGTGTGTAGTGAAGTCATAACCAGCGGGCTACAAGTGGAAAACCATGGAAAGCATCAACGTATTGAGTACACAGTTTTCATAGTTCACACGACGCAGTGGACGAGTTCTTGTCGTATTTTTTTACGTCGAACATGATCACTCGATGATCACGTACGATGCTTTTCCCAGACGAAAGTTACGAAACGGTGGTGCTTTTTGTTCGTTATCTCTGCTTCTTGTTGACCAGAGGAGTAGAGACGTGTGAGTATGAAGGGACTGGGGCCTTGGGTTCAAACAATGGGCGATCGTGTCTAGATCTATGTCCAGCGCTTTGTGACGTCACCTCATCTAAGTCTTTACTCCTGACTCTCATTCCATGTTCACTCCGTGAACGCGCAAAGTTTCTTTTTCTCTGTCCGAGAATATCACCCTCAGACGAGCCAGTCATTCCCCTTCGAAACTCTGAATGCTCCAGTCTCCTGCTGGCACTGACACGTGAAAAAACATCCGGGTCTTCTTCGAATTCGTCGCCATAGTAAGTATTGTGATGAGTAGTATAAAGACTAGGAGTTCTACCCGGAAAGACCATCCTCTCGTCGGATAGGTCAAAGGTATACGCCGGAGAAATCTGTTTTCTTCGCAACCTGCTTCTTGCTTCCTCAAAAGTTTGAAGTGAGTGTCTGGCTCCGCGTTCGAGCCCGTCGCGCGTCCGGGCTCGATGTGGTTTCCTCCCGGGAATCCTGACGGTAAATCCGTATCCATCCCCGGTAAGATAGTCAACCTTAAACGAATCCATCTCTACAACGTGTCTTGAATGGGGAAGAGGGGGCTTATTGCGCAGGCCCGGGTTTGTAGATAAATTCCCCCAGTTCGGATTGGTAGTGTTGTTAGCGAACATGTAATACTCTAAACGTCTTTGAGCCGTGACGAAATTAAGCTCAGTGTCGTCTGTTACAGCAAGGACTGGGCCTGAATTTGTGGGTTTTTCATGCGCGTACTGCAATGCAAGAAAGTTAGGCGTCAACTCATTTGCTCCGTGTGCAAGAAAACTGTTTGTAAATCCTTTAGTTTATTTTTGCCGCTTTGGTTATTGTACAGTTTTACAGTAGACTATATTCTTACAATCTTTAACCTATTACAACCTAACATCAAGCCACGGCAACTAATTCAGGGTTGCCACGGTCAGAGAAAAGTCAGGGAATTTTTAAAAAAGTCAGGGAAATTGGTTTTTCGGTTTATAGTTCATAAGTTTTCTTCAAGATTTTGAAATGTATTTTCTTTCAAAAAAGCAGAAAGTGTGCTGCAAAGCAAACAAAGCGATCAAGTTGACACTCTACGCCTGACACTTGTAGTAGTTGTGGTCAGTGGTTTTCATTGTGAATGCTTTCTTCCAAATTCGTTCTTACTCTCTCCGCAAAAATCGGAAAGAGGTTAAAAATGAAGACAAAGATATCGATGGGCTGCAAAAGAAGCTAAAGCGAATGTAAACATGGATTGTTTCTCGTTAATAAAAGGTCAGAAAAGTCAGGAAATCTTCAACTTTCTGATAAGAAGCAACCCTGCTAATTAAATCACGACCTGCGCTAGTTTTTCTGGAACCAACGCCATTCTGCCCACGAACTGCTCAATCAACCGATGACACACTTAATCTACTCAGGACCCAGGGCAATTTACCCAAGACCCACTCAATCTACCAAGGGCCTCTCAATCTAGCCAGGGATCACTACAATATAGCCACCACTAACGGTAGTTTACCAACGACTCATTCAGACTATGTAAGACCCACTTCTATCCTACCGAGGGCTAGCCACAGTCAACTCAATCTACCCATGACCCCCTCAATTTACTTACGACCCACTCACTCCACCTAAGACCCTCGTCAATTTACCCACGACCCAATCAATCTAGCCAACAAGTTATGCATGATCCCCGACAGCAAAATGGCTGAATCGAACTGCCAGCATTATCAGCTTAAGTTTGTGTTACCTTCACAAGGAAGTCTTTTCTTTCTGTTTCCTGTGATCCATTATGCAACTGTTCCTCTTTCTAAAGAAACGCAACTTAATTTAGGGAAGGTGTATTCGAAAAATAAAAGGGGCTCATGGAGTGAGTGTGTTACCAAGAACAAAGAAATAAGATTCACATTGCTAGACTTCTAAAGGTCTGGCCCCAGTTGTTCAAACGGTGGACAGCACTATCCACCGGATAAATCACTGTCAAGTGGATAAGTATTGGGGAAACTAAGTGAGCCAGTATGCAGTGAAAAGGGATTTACCCTTTGGAAAGTGTCATCCACCCTTTGAGCAACTGGGGCCTGGTTAAAAGGTGAATCCAACACCATCCACCGATGTTGAGCAATGTTCGTTCCATGATGCTCAAAGTCAGGCCAGTAATAGGGAGCTTACGAATCGACGACTTTCGCACGACGCCGCCGCTGGGTCAACTCATAGTTCTGCGTTGCCGTCCTGTAGAAATTTGAATTTACGATTCGTAGTAAAGACGACGACGTTGGTGCGCGCGGCAGGCAAATTTTCCCGCCATTTGTGAAGTTTGTTTTCTTCTTTTCACAAGTAAGCTTATTTGTTCAACTAAAATGTCTAAATTCATAAGAGAAACGAGAGCTCGTATTGAAGACGCTTATGGAAACAGATTTATAAAGGACCGAGTATTTCACTGTATTTGTACTTTTATGCGTTTCGTCAACAAACTCAGAGTTAACTACAGATTTAGACAAGACAACAAAGGACGAATGCAAGGCGCGTTTATATACAGGGAGGGCATTTATAAACTTGTTGAACACGCAGCTGTAGTTACTGTGATGAGATAACCACTTGCAATGGTCTAGTTGTAGCTTTGGTACCATCTTGCCAATATGGTTTCACTCGGTATTAATTTATGTTTGTCTACAGCTAGCTAGGGTGTTGATTCTTCGGGTCGTTACTCCAATGGAAACAGGCAAACAAATCGAAAACATATGTAAAAAACATGTCTCTAATGTGATACTTGAATTATCTGGAAAAATCCGCTGAAGTATGTAGGGAAAACTTTAAAAATTAGTCTCACGTCCTGCTTTTTCTAGGACGCCGGCGAATTGCTGTCAACAACGGCGTCGACTTTGGCGCGACGCCGGCAAGTGCCCAGATCAGCATGCGCAGTAAGCCTGTCACACAGTCCAACGGCGTCGTCGTGCGAAAGTCGTCAATTCGTAAGCTCCCTAATATGACGTGGCGTGATTTCAGGATTTCCACATGGCCGCCATCTTGGATTCTCATCACGTTCAGAGAACAGTGCTACAAAATCTCTTGAGACGGTTTCACAAATAACCGTGCAATATCATAACAAGGGATGGTGCAGTGAACTTAACTTAATGAAACAACACTAATATAAAACTAAAAACTGCATCTCGTTCCAATAGTAAAATACGATTGTTGCCATGGTTAGGTGCCATGTTATGAGCTGCCTTTTTGCGAGGCTTCTCTTAAAAACTTGTAACAAACGGCAAGACGGAACTTCAGCTATACCTTGATGGTTCGCGTTTCGCCAGTCCAATGAGTTTGCGCGTGCCGGCCTTGCCCGATGTCTCTGAGGAGGGTGGTAGCTTATGGGGTGGTAGCTTTGACGGTTGACGGTTATTTTTCCCAATTTTGACGGTTGACGGTTAAATTTCAGAGCTTTTGACGGCTGACAGTTATTAAGGTGGCTCGACTGGAGTTTTTGGGGGGATACCTCCCACGTTTGAGCATTAACTACGTCGGATATGGGAAAAAGGTTACCACAACTGTATTATATAAAGATGAAAACTTGGGAGGTATTCCCCCAAAAAAATCCAGTCGAGCCACCTTAGGCCAAGAGTTTGAGTAACTAGTTTTACTTCTGTAGCAATTAATATTAACTGTTGTGTTCTGGAGTTCACTTATCGAAATTTCGAAATATTTTTAGACAGAAGTAAGTTGTACCGTCTTGTTATGTCTAGAGAAAGTGTTTTTGACAACATGTTTTTCCAGTTAAGAGATTCTTCAGAGGCCGGAAGTCCGTGAAGATCAGCTGAAATAGAGAGATTTTAAGTCCTTTGAAACATGTCACCAAAATCCGGAGCGATATCAGGAAAATTTAGGGATTCTTGGCCAAGTCTTTTAAAGTCATAAGCGTTCAGTGAGTCAGCACCCGTGTGAGTACCTCTCTACCACACCGTGGTTTAGACAAGGTCAGGACATCGAATAATAATTACCTTTTTCGCTCTCTCCAGAATTCGTTCTTGAGAAAAGATTGGTATACCGCCATTTGATCGATGCTGGTATGGATTGACAAACTTGCCAAAGTTAGTCTTCACTTTTTTCTGTTTGAAAGACGCAGGCAACGAGTGTCAATATTTAACAAGGTATATAAGAGAGGCATTATTTTAATACGCCTCCAAGCTACGGAATTCAGTTTTAACTTTGGAAGTCATTCCTTCGCAGAATTAAAACGAATTTAGTGATTTCATATTTAAGCTGAATTCACAACGTATTCTTCCACAACGCATCATATTTTCGCCAGTGTCACTATTTTAATTGATCATATCCCCACACTTTATGTAACATGCATATGAATTTCAAGAAATTCGTTTGAAAGATTATATTTTACAATAATTATTTTCTACTTAACTCTGTGGTTAACAGGATAGCTGTTACTCCGCGTGGCTAAGCACTATTCTTAAAGTTAACTGGTTTAAGTTTCGCCTCGATTCACGTAGCTTTAAAACAAATTTAAGTTACATTGGGTTTCTGTGTTTAGTTAACAGGTTTTAATTAACTAACAAGAAACTGGGATACGTTACTGTGTGGATAAGTCCACAGCGTTCCTTAGCCCTCTGTTACAAGGAAAGATTAAAAAAATTAGAAGGGAGAAGAACTGAAATGTTATTAAGGCTTCAGTGGTCGAAAAAAATTTATTCATACGGTATGTGACGGTTCATAGCCTGCTTGGTACAACAGGTCTGATTGTCCCTTTTTAACATCTCCTTTGGTTTTTCGCTTGGATTCGACAATCTAAGCAACATTTAAGGAATTTCGCCTGCGACAAAGTCATATCGTTTACGTCGATGCAGAGGTGATAAACTTCTTTATTCTTTGAAGGTTTGAAAGAATTGCATAAACTGCATTTAAGTTACAGGAAATGTTTGAAAAACTTGCGTTTAAGATCGACAGATCATTGACAAAAGTTTGTTGAAAATTTAACTAATCACCAGTAGTATATAAGCTAACTCTCATTTGGTAAGCTTAATGGGCACAAGTCCCAGCTATAAACTGTCAAACTTAATCAGTGGGAAAAAATGAGAAGATCTTGAAAATGTTGGAACAACATATTAGTTTCAAAGTTTACCCGTTAAGTGTTTTTCTCAAGCCCGCCTTAATTTTTCTGCTTCCCCTTTGTTTTTTGTTTTTTTTTTAACCTCTCTCTTATTCTGTGATACCTTATCCTCGCTAAACTAGTTAACGTGAAGCTTATGCAATAATTCGACCCGGCTCATTTCACGGCAAACCGCGAATGCAAACGGCATTCGCAATGTTTTTTCACGAGAGAAATGTCACTTGTTTAGGTTCAGAGTTCGTGCACCTCTTGCCATATAAAATTCAAGGACTTTTCAAGGGCTTTCAAGGACAACGTTTTTAAATTACGTACGAACACTGTAGGTTGTTGCGGTAGCCTTGCTTCTTTTCAAAACCACTAATTTAATTGGACCCCTACGTATATGTCGTAGCTCCTTTGTCTTCGGGCTAGGTTCCGTACAGCAAGGAGCCCAAAAGTGTGACCGCTATTTATTCACATTCTTTCGTCCAGATTTAATCCAATCAGAAGCCAGCTGGAAACTGTCCTCGACTTCTCATTGGTTAATGTCTGCTTGCCGGAAGAATATGAACTAATTAAAGGAGGTTGATCACACTTTTGGACTCTTTACTGTAACATTGTTTGTTCATTGTTTTCCCAACCAATTCCGCGAGGTCTTCCGAGAGCTGCAAGGTTGCCGTGCGATGCACCCGTGGTTGAGATTCATCGCAGGAGCTCTGACTTTAAGTATTTGTCTTTAAATATAAACACGGTACCTCATTATTGCCACAATCTTCGTCTGTAGTAGTACTGCTGCTAGTTTCCGAAGAAGCAGATGGTTTCTAAAGAAACAAAGTTAACAACGTTATAGTCAGTACAGGAATTACTTTAAAAAGTAAACGGTTTAAATCCGCGAGAAACCACCCTTCAATCCCCAACCTGAAAAAAAACGATTGTTTTGTTGTTGTGTTTGTTATTATGTTTTGTTTTTGTGGTTGTTGTTTGTCTTGTTTTGTTTGTTTCGATCGATTTTTTTCAGAAAGAAAAGACGGGTTAACGTAACGTTAGAAAACTAAAACACTATTGTTAGCCTGAGAAAACAGCCGACATTTGGCGACGCTACCACTGGTTTCCCGCCAAATGACGTGATACTACCCATATCTAGGTAGTGGTTCTTAATGGTTGCGTCGCGTTGAAAATTTGCTTCAACCAATATGAAGCATTACCCAGATCTGAGTGGTGACGCGTCATCAGTATGGAATGTCTGCGCTCGTTTCTCAGACGTTATTTGGCGGGGAAACCAGTGGTAGTGTCGGCTCTTTTCTCAGGCTAAAACACTATACGTGAATTATACATTCGTGAACTTTAACTTACCGACAAGGTGTCCCACCAGTGCTTAGCTTTCTTCCTCTTCTTTTTCTTCCTCTTTCTTTCCCCCTTGAAAAAGAAGAATGAAGATTATCAAAAACAGAAACACAACTTCCGAATAATGTTTGAACGCCTTCGGTCATGCGCGTGGTCATTTTCGTCCCTCGCGCGTTTCAAGCGACCGACTAAGAAAAAAGAGAGATTGCTCGTAGTATATACATGTTACCGTTATTTCAAACGCGAAACTTTAGGTTTTCAAAAAATCAATAATTAAGTTTTAACATCATAGGAAGATTCCTTTAACTATTTACGGTGGTAATTTACTTTATCGAATCGGTTCATAGAACCAAATTTTTGAGTTTCACTCCGCCCAAGGACGCAGAACCATAGTTTCTTTGGGAGCTAACTCCTCCAAGTCGTTTTTGTTGTGACTTTAGTCGATACTTCGGAAACTCTGAGAAGAATGGATATAAGCTTTGGGTGCAGTAAGTTTTGGGTCGTTTGGGTGGACTAGCGTTAGTTATGATTGGTTGACGGTATTCAAGGCAACCATCAATCAATCACAATTTACGCTTGTCCAAAAAAACAGTCCCAGAAATCGTTGCGCCGAAAGCTTGAACCATTCCTCCTCCCTTTTTTTGCTTATAGTTTCTCGAATGAGGAATTTGACTTTTCTATGTATTTGTATACGCTAACTAGCCCTATTTGCCTCGAATGCATATGCAGAAACCAAAAAACGTTTACTTTGAAACGGGACGTGGAGAGCTCATTATCGTGAAGACATTTACGAATGACTAAATCTACCACTGTTTTGGAATAAGAAGCATAGCGTTGCACCGCAATGGCCACTCGCACAGATTGACCAGTCAGAATCCTTACCGGGTTACCGCTGGCCTCGTCTTCCTTGTCGTCCCAGTCATCCGTGTCACTGTCTGAGTCACTAGAACTAAATAACACGTAGTAGTAAATTTAACGGATAAACGACCGCTGACCGGTAACGCTTTCCTGGGTAGTTGGCGCTAATTGCAGAAGGGATGGTGGACAGGTAAGGTTTTTTCTCTTCTACGTCCCTGGGGAGCTAGAAATTACAAGAAGGAGAGAAGAGAACACCCTGATCGCGCACTCTTGAACCCTGGAAAAGCGTGAAAAGGATGCAGTTTTGCTCTTTTCACTCTCTCTACCACTTTGTCGTTCACTCGCTTTTTTCTTAGGGAAGGAACACACCACCACCTTCAAAGAGTTCATAATTATGCGGATCTACCGCCGCTTCCCTTTGAAAGCTTCCCTGCTAGCAGTCTTTATAACTGAAAACAAAGAATGAAGTCGACAAACATTGAGGCGACGGCCTAACTGACCTCAGCGTCCGCTAATGCGATAACCCGGTCTTAATCTCAGCCAGCAAAAAGCTCAGCTATAAAAAAGACCCTAATTCGTGTACGATCAAAGTTCCAAATGGGGACCTGACCTGCCATCAGTAACTCTACCAGTTGGCTCGAGGGACAAATAGACCCTTCCATGACAAATTTCTGCAATTTGATTGGCTTAGAGCAGTGGTATTTCAGCTTAATTTGAAATAATTACATGTGAACATTACGAACCTTTCGTGGGTAGTAGTATAAACAAATAATACCATGATTTGTACGTAATATTTGGCATAAATACCACTTGTCATACTTCAAAATTTTCTAAGAATTTAACGTATAACAGTTCTGAAATATCACGTACAAATCATGCTATTACCTACACTAATATATACGACATTACTGGGGAGTAGAGGAAATAAAAAAATTCACTTACTCTGATTCGTCGAAGCAGTCTACTAAGTTTAAATTCTCCAGTATTTTAATACAGTCATTGAACGAATCGACATGCACGCTTTTCACAGAGAGTTCCACGCTGTCATCTACACTGCTCCCTGGAGCTTGAACACGTACATCCATGAAATTCACTTTTTTCTTCGTCGAAAGAGGAAACGCCTTGATAGTGGAATTAGTCCTTTGGTCTTTTGTGTCTTCCTCTCCTAGTGACAAACTGTTTTGAGTTTTCCCTTCTCTTGTATGTGTGGTCCCGTTATTGCTCATTACAAAGTCTTCTTTGGAAACATTTTCATGATTGAAGTTCCCCAAGGTTTGTCTGAGGATATCACGTGTCATTTTACAGGCGAGCTCCACAAACGCCTGTGTCATCTCACTCCTACAAGGAAATAAGAACTGATTTACCAATTTACCCAAGATAACTAATTCCCCATTTTAGAAACGAGAAACAAACTTTGCCGCGTTCTGGGACTGTAACTTAGCACTGGGAAAAAATTGGCCAATATCTGACCTGCGCATCCCAAGTAACAAACCCAGGAGTCTTTACGAAATCTAACTCGGTCGAGTTTCCTTCAATGAATGTATATCAAGTTGGAAGCATCTTAAAGTAACTACAATGTTTTTCTTCCTTTCTCACGTGTGTGTGGAAACCCTAGAGAGATCCCCAGGAATGAGCGCATTTTTTCGTTTGTATTTCGTTTGTATTTTCGAGCGCTTTTCGGGACATTTCTTCTTAAAGCCCTCACAGAACAAGATTGCAACGGGAAAAAGATCCCTGTGCTGCGCCTGGATGTAATAATGATCGCCTTTTTCTAGTACGAAATGACAGTGACGGGGAGGTGAAAACTCCATTTTAAGGCTTGAAATCTGCGATCCCAGACTTTTTTTAGCGCGGCTGAAATTTTGCGATAACATTTCTTGGGTAAAAAACCTTACCCCGGACCTTTTTGTTAGGATAACAGGAAATTGCAACGAAGGGTTCTAAACTTATGAGTAAAATCATTGCACATGTTTCATTAAGAGACGTAAGCTACTTCACATCCGGGACTTTTCGTGGGTCAAGTTCTGGGGGCCCCAGGATAATTTGGGGGTCTGTCTTTTTCCTCACAGGGCTTCTTAAGGGGTTTAATGATGCGGCCTTAATCGCAGATCCACGTGACTTATTACATCTGAGCCTCCCTACCGCCCCGCCTTTTTACAACCGAGATACAAAACAGTAGTGAGTTTCCAAAGAGACTTTGGACGATTTTGACAAATATTTACCGATTTCCGTTTTTTGCCTCGGAATACTCCAGCAACACTTCACAAAAATCTCGACCCATCTCCTCAAAGTCACCAACGTGGAAATGTCTTCCTTTCTCACTAAGAGACAAAACATTGTATGATTAAGAGGACATAAGCAATCTAGACCTTTCATAGAACACAGTCTACCTGAGCTTAGCTAACGAAAAGCAGGTTTGAGGGAACCCTGACCGACCCTGTTTAGGACAACAAAAGCCCTAAAATACATAACCTATTTAGGACAACAACCTCAATTTTATTACCCACGACAAAGGACTAAATGCACACTGCCCTGTTTTTAAGTCATAATTCGCACAAAAAACGCTCGTAAGAGGCAATAATCAGGTACTCACATGTCGCCAAAGTTTGCTCCGCAGAAGGTAGCCTCCATAGTAAAGCTGTTAGTAATGCCCATTTGTCGCCACATAACAACGCGCGCAGTTGACTCCTTGCACTTGCGCACTCGGAATTTACAACCACTGAACGAGAACTTGTCAGGCGCCTGAGACAAAACAAGACATCCATGTTTAGGTCGAATACAACGCAACCTGATTATGGCACTCGCAAAGAGATGTCGATACCGCTTTATTCAGTAAACCAGTGGGCCTATAGGTTGAACTGTATTCAGCCTCAGGGCTTGAATATAAGTGACTTTTTTTACAGCCAGAATAGGTCGACTAGATCTCGCGTCCGGTAAGAGCGCGCGCGTGTTTTTCTTTCTTTGTAGCGCGTGTAAGTTTTCAAATTTGTTCGTTATCATGTTATAATGGTGTGTGATGCTTGTAACGGCCATTCACCCTGATGAAGGCCGTTTAACACGGCCGAAATATAGGTGAGAGACGAAAAACATATTGTTTTACTCTTCACTTGTGGTACTGTATTTATTGAGTTGTGAAGGGGGTGTCTTCTAAAAGACGCTTGTGATAGGCTTTATTCAGTAAAGATATTGTTCAAATCACTCACGGCATCGCAACCTATAAGGATCTATTCTTTTTCTTAATTACGAATATTTACGCACGAAAACTCGTCCAAATGATAAATCTACCTTCGTAACATCTAAGTCTTGATAAATTGCGATGGCGGTTTCTGGAAAAATTACAGTTATTTCTTGTTTACAAAATATCTTCACATTATCAGTCTTGCTCTGTATCAGTGGTTTGTGTGGGTGTGCTATGCGCGAACTTCATCACGTAGGGTCGCGTAGTGACCACTTCTGCAAGCTGTCCACCTGTGGCATCTTCGTGGAACTAGAAACATGTACAAGTCTTTAAGCCCCAATATTCACAAAGAAATTCGCCAGAATGATCTTCATACAATTCCATAAAGAATTACTTCCGAGAGCTCGATTAAAGATCAAAGCATATTCCTTTAGGTGATCATTTTAAAAATTCTCCTAACCTTTTCTCTTGATTATGCATTGATATTGTTCAGAGAAGATTGATCTTGGTCACTCTTGGCACTGAAACGGTTATAATCTACTTTAGTACCTTTTGTGACATCATCCAAGGAAAGAGACGTTCTTCTACAAAGTTGCTCATGGACGCCATCTTGGGATCTGCTGTGCAACCGTACATGAAGACGTTTGGTTTGCGGCTATGTCCGTGAAGATCGCAGTAAATAATGACCTGAAAAAGGTAAATTAAAAAACATTAAATCATTTCAGTTCTTTTTACAACACATCCCTGCCAGACTCAAATAAAAGCTCGTTATATCTGATCACGCCAAAGGCCCCACGCGTGGTGGCACCTTTTCAAGGCCATTCACTCGCCCGATGGACCTTAATTGTAAATCTTTCAAAAGCACCCCTACCTGGTGGTCCTTCTTGAATGACTCCAACATATTCTTCATATGCCAAACAGTGGGGAAACTTTCCTATAGTGAGAAGATAAATACAAACTTTAAATACAGAAAAACTACGTTCAAACGTTATTTTCACCTAGTTGTTATTAGTCGTCATGTTTCAACTGTTCTGCTTGTCTTCATCTAGCCCGGATCCATCAAAAGATGGTTAAATTTAACCCAGGATTAAGCCAAACTTTAGTATCATTTTTCTTGCCTAAGAATATTGTTGAGCCTTCACTCCGTAGATGCGGAGGTAACATTGAGGCTTACGAGGATTCATAGGATGGAACAAAGGAAATTTTTTTTCCCTTGCACAACTCCCCACGCGATTGGCTTATAATGACAATATTCAAACCCTGATCTCTGCGATACCAGTGCAGCGCTCTAACCAACTGAGCTAGCAAGCCAACTGGGAGCTGAGTTTTTCAGCCTCTTGTTTAATTCCCCGTAGAGTAGATGCCCGTAAAACGTCCGCTTCTGCAGGAGACTGCATTGTAAGAGAGGTAGCCTTGCCGCTCGTCATCATTTTCTTCCAGAATCGAGGCTTGCGCAATATGGTGAAGCAATGTAAGCGTATGATGGGGTTTGTCTATAGTTGTTTTTCTCACTACGGTCACTGTGAGACAACACAGCAGCCGATCGATACTACTGAGGACCGCTGAGGGAATAAATCACTAGCGCTGGCAATGAGGATCAAAATCCACTAACCAACAAGGGTGCTCCGGCTAATGATCCCACACAAACAATCCACACTATTGCCTGATCGGACTCGTACCCTAACCCCGACAAGCCCGAAGTTATTCAGGCTTCCTTTTCACAAATACATAAGTTGCTTCCTTACTTGCGATGATCTTCTTTGCATTTATTTCTTCATTACGTGGTTCAAATTTATAATGAAATTCATATATTTACCATTTTCAGTCAAAACACTTCGGCTTCCTAGAGTCAAGACGTTAACTTCGCCTTTTCCATAAACCTCCTCACCTTCTTTGGGTCTTTGTAAGTTCTGTTCAAATCTCTGGCCGCCAAGTTCGTCCTGTAGTTGCCCACAACCACACCATCCGGATTCAGCATGGGGACAAGCTTGAACACAAACTTACGACGAAGTTTCTGCCAAAAGGAGAAATGCATACGGTAAAAGAAAAAGAAGAAAACATCAACATAATTTTAAAAGACGACAAGAACACCTCTCTGGGCATGTCTTTAAAAGGACCTCTTTAGCTTCTCTGTTTTTTTCTTCCAGTAGAGGTCCCAGGGGAACTTGACCTGGCTGCGAGGCTAGCCAAGCATAAACAAAGCTTTTTAAATCTCCTGAGACAAAATGGCCGCCGCGTGACAAAGGTCTATTCTAATTTAAACGGATGAATTAAGGCCTGGAAACCAGTCTTTACCTCGGCAATGTGATGACCGCAGGTCAAAAAGTCTAACATGCCTTTCATCATCCAACTCGCATTAGTCTCTCCCGGATGAACTCTGGCGCTGACGACTACGCCGAGCTTCTCGCTTTCAGGAACTACAAGATAAAAAAAATACAAGAATAAGTATGGCGCAAATTGAAAGGGTGAGAATAAAATAATTCTAGAAAACTGCGTACAGCTTCGTGGTCACTAACCTTGAGGAGAGGTGATAGTTAACACATGACAATTGTTGCCCGCCATAGTTTTACAAAGAACCTGTTACATGAGAAATGGAAAAAAGTGTAAATGCGATTTCACAGCCGGTTATTATAAGAAATATAGTAAACGTTGTTTAGAGTAAATTGAACTTAAGAGAAATCAGCGATTTACCGGATTGCATTAAAGAAAGTCCGGATCAGATTCGGGAAGCAACCTTTTCCCTCATTTGTCCTTCCTGGCATCTCCCGCGGCCCTTATTCCCTAAGTCTTACTCGCTTCAGAGAACAAACAAGTAGGGACTGGAAAAAAGTCTGTTTTACAGGCCTCATCTGGACCTTACTCGGAGCAACACAAAGTTCGCAGGAATAGTTGTTTCAGCTAACAAACCAGTTTTTTGCCCTAAAAACGATTGCAAGTTGTTCAGGATTACTTTTATTCCCCATTTTAGTTAGAACTGTAAAATCGCATGGGAAGTTAACTGTGCGCGTACTGCTCATAACTGACAGATTTACATAAAAGTCCCCGGATGTTGAAAGTGGCAGGGGTTGTTGGAAAGATAAAGTTTGTGGTGATTTGCTTCGCATTTGTTGAATGGATTTTTACGGATTTTAAAGCGGAAACCTGAGAAAAAATAGTTCATATCACTTTCCTTTCAGTAGAACCCGTCGCCAACACCAAGCAACTACCCACAATTTGTACTTTTTAATTAGCTAGTACCTCCTTCTGCACATACTGTGCTGTCTTCGGATTATCCTCCATTGTGCGTAAGTACAGCTCCAGGTCAGTGTAGGAATACGGGTAACAGTGAGCTAAGTAACATGTATCGTTTTCGTGTGGAAATTCCTGAAATTCGATTTGAAACAAAAATGGCTGAATCGACACGAGAAGAGAGAGAAGGCAATTCCACTTCCGAAAAGAGCGGGAAACGTACCCTCGAGCGCCTGGCCTCGCCTCTCGAGCTTTCCTCTCGATCTGCCGAACGAATAGCGTAGCGCGCGAATGACGTCAGAGTGACTAATTTGCAATTTTTGTCTGAGTTTTGTCATTTTTCTCATTTTAATGACAAAAGACAAACAAACATGACATTTTAATGACAAAAGCACGGTCAGAAATTTCAGTTTGCTAGTCTAAGTTTTGGGTCTTTAAATAGTAACTGCGCACAGCCTTATTCGCGCCTTTCACATTACCCCGATATAATACACCTTGTTTACCCCCAAAGGCCCCCCACCCCCCCGCCAAAGAATGTTTTTCAATTTCCTCCTCGTCCCAAGAAGAAAGAAAAAACAATATTAATGCAAAATTTTGGGAGGTAAGTAAGATGGAGTATTGGCAATGTGAAAGAGGCGAATCAACACTTTCCCATTTCTTAAATAATTAAGTGGCCAAAAAGTTTCTTAGCCTCCAGTGCTGATTGAACATACCACTGCTCAACAGATTTCATTTATATCGCCTTGGTAGGCAACACTACGAATAAAGCTTTTAGCCAACCAAATCTTCGTCCTTTAACATTAATAACTTACCATGTGAAAAGTGAGAGTGTAGTAAACATATTCGCGTTGCAGCAGAGGATTTTTGTATAACGTGGTCTTGCAATAACTGATGTGCGAACCAGCCCTTTTCCAGCCCAGACCCCGCGCTGTAGCTTCACGCTCGGAGTACAAAAGGGGCTTCATGCCTACAACGAGGAACACGACAATTTTTAAGTGAAAGACAGACTATACTTTTAAACCCACGAAAAATTAGGACTCAGTGCATCAACATGAGTCTACAGCTGGACATTTCAGAAGAAAAGACTATCCGCCAACTCAACATCGTCCCATCATACACTTCGTTTGCTCCCCAAACTCAGCATGAAACCGTTATTTTCAATTTCTTCTCGGACAATTGTAAGTACCGAGAGAAACTGAAAACAATGCATGTGGGAGTGGCGGCAAATCTGAGTGAATATGTCATGCAAGACGCATACGCGCGATGAAGCGTAAGTATCCGAAAAGTGAAGTGTTTGTACTGTTGTAAAGCGTATTCAATTCTTCAGGTAAACTGAACTCTACGGCCTTGTGTTAGCGAAACAACTTCCTCTTTAATAAAGTTTGTGATTAAAACAACTGGTGCAAACTCATTTAACCATCGAGAGGGTATTAAGGCTATCTTCCTCCCAACAAGTCACTGGCTTTACCTCTTAGGCCTGTTTCAAACGTCGTGCTACTGCCGTGCCGAACTAAATTGATCGAATTAAATTCGACTTTAGCACGGCAGTAGCGCGACGTTTGAAACCAAGTCGTGCTACTGCCCTGCCGAACTCAATTCATAAATTATAAATACATTAGAATACATTTAAAAGTTTGCTAAACCGTTTCTTTATTTTTGTGTTTTGTTTTCGGCAACACCCGCGCTATTCGACTGAATTAATTTCGACGTCTGAAACCAAGTCGTGCTTGTGTCGTGCTACAGTCAAGCTACAGTCGAGCCAGCTTAGCACGGCAGTAGCACGACGTTTGAGACAGGCCTTAGTAGCAGAGACTAAACCATTACCTACCATAATTGTATAAACTATCTTTCTTTAGTAGATTGATGATATTGAACTTGTAAGTTACCCCAGGGACCATATTCTGGACACGGAAGTAATACCTATGGTAAATGAGACAAGAAAATTTCCGTTTCAGATTTCTAAAAGTTCAATGCATAAAGCAGACTAGATATTCCCTCCCTTATATAAAAAAAAAAGTTAAAAAAGGCAACAGAAGAGTTCTCCTTTTGAAGTAGAAATATGTGTCATCCATTTTATCTTTCCTAGAATCACCATAACCATCTTATCCTCTCCACTTTCTCCTTCTTCTTTTCATATCTTTATTCGTTTGAACGTTTCCTCATTAGCACAATTAACATTCTACCCTGGCTCCAGAAGTCCGTTCACAAAATATCTAGGATGAAATAACATGTACGCACGGTTTGATAAAGCTCCCGACACGGACGGACGGAGTTTTGTTTCTCTCTCCGCGCTTCGCGCCTCGCTGTGGCGCCTTCGCCGCGAACTATTACGAATTAGGATAGAAAAAAACCTTTGGCACCCGGGTTTGACCATTCAGAAGGTGATGGTTTTCTCTTTTCGACATTATCTGTGCGTTAGGCCATTTTTTATCAAGCGGTACGTCCGACCGACCGACCCAGTTTTCAGGGAAAAAAAAAGAACTGAGAAGGGATAAGATCCGCTGAAGTGTCGCTTTACATCGAAGGCACAACATCCCTTTTTTTCTATGAAAAGAAACGGAGCTCGCTACCAATTTTTTTAGAAGAATATTGCCATGGCCTTAGTTACGCCATTAAGAACGTTTTACATACATGTAATAATTTTACTGTGAAGAGAGATTATACAAACTTTTTCATTAAATGTTGGTATTTATAAATTGGTGTCACAACTGAATTTCGAAAACATTTCTCAAGTTACGATTTGAACAGAGTAATCCGCGTCTATGATCAACTGTTCTCTTTTTTTTTACATTATTTGTTGCGTAGGCGATCCACTTCTTAAATTCGTATATAAACTAAAAGAGCAAAGATTCTTACCACTGCATATGTCGTTTTGTGTACAAATCGCAACTAAGAACTAGATCATATTCATAACTGCCACTGTAAAAAAATTAAAACAAAAAACTGTTATAAATCATGAACCTATAAAAAATTACAAAATAATCGGTAATAAAACCTTGTTCCAGAAAGAAAAAAATACTGTGTTTTTTTCCTTTTTCAATCCGCCTATTTTCTTAGTAGAATTTCACTTCTCCACACACCCTACCCTACCACAGTACCAGAGTTTCTTAAAAAAACATACACACATACGGCTGTAAATATCTACCACTGTTGTTTGTTATCATAATTATCATTGCTAAAGAAGAAGAAGTTTTAAGGCAATAGAACTGAAACGTTGGTGTGGGCTATCAAATATAGACCATCAGTTGAGTTTTGAGCTTCAGAACGTCGCAGCATATCTTTCCGTAAAGCCTCTCCCTGCAAGCAAACTTTATGGGGTGGGGGTAACTGACACAGAAAGTTTTTTCTCCACACCCCTCCACCCACTCTTACGAGTTTGCCACAGTCTACTCACAGTACTACTTACATTCTTTTTGCTTGCTTTAGGTTTCCACACTCAAACCTTGATTCAAAGGTGAGACTTGGAGGGCAACCAGAAGGGACTACATGACTGTGGTTTGCCTGTTCAATAAACAAAACTTTTAGTGGCCTTATTAATAAGTTTGGTTTGAGCAGTATACAGCTGTGGGTTTCAGGATTCACTTATAAAAACATTTGTCAGGCTGAAAAGAGATGAGGGGACTAAGGGTGGAGTCATGGTGCATATAGCACTCGATCACCTCCCACCAAGGAGGGGTGGGGGAGTGGGGTCGAATCCCAAAGGTGGAACTATGTGTAGGTTTAATGTTTGTTCCCATCCTTGCTCCTAACGGTTTTTCAAACAAACATTTCCAAAGTCCTGTTCAATACAGATTATGGTAGAAAAAGAGCCACTTTTTGGAACAGCAGACAGTCCTACTCTTCAAGTCAATATATTTTGTTCTGTATGTTCAACAAGAGAAGAATGAAGGGCAGAGAAGAGGGGTGTAAGGGTTGCGCAGGGTGCTTGAGCCAGTCAAGGGCTCTAGCGTGCCATCTCAGTGTCCCTTACACTCTGAGGCTTGAGTACTTGAGCAATATTGGCAGGTGGTTATTATGGGTCAAAACCATAAGATTTTTCCTTTATTCCATGCAACTATGCCAGAATAAACATTTTGTTTCTCATTTCCATTACCAAGTTAAAAATTTGAAAAATTATTGAAATGTGTACAAAAAAAATTATTTTCCGGTTACTAA